AAAAAAAGTTAGCCGTTTTTAGCCGATTTTACTATTTGCCTAATTTTCAGGTGCAAAAAGTAAACAAGTTGTTCGAAAGCAATAATGCAGACCCAATGAAGATTTTTAATGAACTCAATGTTTTACTTTCGCATCTATGCTCCCTAGTGGTTATTAGCGCGGACACATTTGATCCTATATGCTCCCCGTTGGAACCATACCTTGCTCCATTTCCTCAGTTTTATCACAGTTTTGAAGAGTATTTAAAAACAAAAGTAAGCACAAACGCTTTTGACCACGAAGCCGAGAAAATAATTCGAGAAAATGGTCGCTATTTTATTATCACTTTAATAAAGGAATTACGCCAACGCCTCCCTACAAATATTGCCACACTAAAAAAAATTTACTTTTTTCGGTTGGAAATGCATTAAGAGTAATTAAACCAAAAGTATTTGTTCAACTACAGCAACAAAAACACAAATATAATGCCGACGAAATAACATCCATAGAGATGCAATGGCAACGGTTAACGTTACATACCTGGAGTAATTTAGACTCAACTGTAAAATTTTGGGCCGAAGTTTACCAATTTCGAAATGCCCTAGGAGAAAACCCTTTTGCTGACCTTTGCAACCTAGTTTTTAGTTTTCTTGTTTTGCCTATAAGTAATGCAGAAGTAGAGCGAATATTTAGTTCAATGAATATAATAAAAACTAAGCAAAGAAATCCAATGTGCGTTAAATCGTTAAACGCTATTTTATATATAAGATACGGTTTAAAACGGGAAGAAAAATGCTGCCATAATTTTACTGTAGATGACGATCTCTTAAAATTAATGAATTCAGGTGATATATACAATAGTGATTCATTTGATGATGAGGAATATACACTCGATATAAATTAATGGTGTTAACTAGTCTTTCGTTTCTTGCGATTTATTTAAATAAAGCATGTGAATTTTCACTTAAACATTTTAGCCGTTTTTTGCCGCTTTTTTTTGCCAATCTAGCCGGTCGGCCCAAAAAGTTCTGGCAACACTGATCGACACAATAGTAAAAGCTGCAACAACTAACCCGGAAGCAGATATTCCCCGATATGTAACAACGACAAGATCTGGACGGGTGATAAAACAACCAGAAAGGTTTACATCGTAAAATCATTGATTTTTGTTATTAACTTGAATTTTCAAATATTAAAAGCAGAGATACAAAATTTTATATACTTATATCTATATATATATTTATATATACACATATATATACAAAAATAGAGAAAAAAAAGAAATAAATAATAATAAATAAATAAAATAAATAAATAAAAAAACTAAATAAATAAATAAATAAGAAAATGTAATATTCTACATGGAAAGTGAACCTATCCATTTCTTCCTATATTTGAATGTTTAAAATGAATTACAGAATTATACCAAAAGAAAAAAAATGAATTTGAATAAAATGCTTATAAGGGGAGGTGTGGAATATGCTCTCCTATATATGTTTATGTGTACATACATACACATAATATTCTCTCTTATGTATTACTTGCATGCTTTATTACTGTTTTGCATATTTTATGTACTTATTATCTACGGTAGTCAGTACATGCTTTAACCTAATAAAGTTAGTCTTGAAATGGAGCTCAAGAACGTCGGTTGTTTTATTCGCAAACGTTACAGTCGGCCGCTCATAAATGAGAGAAAAGATGCAAGTAATCCATTCGCGATCACTCACAACAGCTTGTCGTGATAAACTTATCGCGAAAAATTTTCAACGACGTTGTATGGGAGATACTTTCCGCGTTTGTTTTGGTTATGCATACAGCATAC